GGAGCCTCGCGGTGTTGATCCCAGCGCTAGCCTTTCGGTCTCGGCCAAGCTTGGCACATGGGGGGTACTAGACTGTCAGGGACCACGGCGGTGTGCAAGCCGTGAGGGGCAGCTGGTGCCCTCCTTGTCCGTACTCGCACCACTGGGAGTTCCAGCTCTGAGGCGCCGGCCCTTGTTTTCATGTGGTGCTGATTGTTGCTCAAGGTGTAAAGGGGTCCGATTTCCAGGCAGCCTGACAGCATACTAAGAAACTGGGGGGGAAAAAAAAGTCTGGCTAAGTACTGACTAGCATTTCCAGTCCATCATTCAAAATACGTGAGTTTTCCCACATGTACCCATATGTCATCCCATATATCATCCCATCTGATGTCTCGGTGTTAGCAGGTCTACCTGTAGAGCTAGGTAGGCTTAAGCAGTTCGGCTCTAAAGAGAGAACTTGAGTTGTCATTCATTCTGCTTTCAAGCCTGTTCCAGCTGTGAACTGTACTGCTAAGGGTGCTGGAGGACAGGGTCTCCAATGAAGGTAGTTGCTATCAGTGGCAGTTTTTAGACACGATGAACCTGTCTACCAACTAGAAGTCCAAATTCTGCCGAAGACTTGATGAGTTTTTGCAGAGGCTGCTGAGTTAAGTTTTGTTTCTTGCAGTCTGAGGCAATTAATAGTTTTCTTACGCTATTAGCAGCACCTTATTTTGTTAATTTCTGCTGATCCTCTTTTTTTGATAGCTCTGATGTCTGGAGGAAAGGGAGATGGTAAAAGTTCAGTTTCTCTTCCATCCTGCTTCTTGCACAAGAAAGTGAAACTACTCTGTGTTTTGCTTTTGCTGCGGTCATCTAAAAGACTGTTGTGAGGTTTTATGTGCAAGTTTCTTTTCTGTTTTTATTTCTACAGTGCTTTTCAAGATGCCCCATTTTATTGAAGATGTAGTTACATTTTGTAGTTTATTCCTATGTTGAGTGGCTTTGTTTTCTCTGAGCTATTGCTAGTATTTCCAGATTTTAAAACTACAGTTTTTGTCCAATCAGAGATAACCACTGATATGGCTGTAAACACTAATTACCTTTAAAGAATACTCAGGGGGTTGTCTTTTTAAACAAACGAAAGAATTTCCTGCCTTCCTCTTTCATGCAGGTTGTGCCTTTAATTTTGAAAGACCTGAAAGGTCTGTTAGGTGCATCTCCTGGATATGTAGCTTTTTTCTTTGCCAAGTGAGATCATGTATCTATGAGTTTTGGCTTTTCTACTCTGGCTTTTTTAGTGGTCTCCCTAGTGTCTCAGTTAAGATGAGAATTCACAGAAAATGGTGGAATAACTTTTAGTAGGGATAAATATGTTTTGCTGAATTCATACATTTTGCTGAAAAGCATTAACCAGAGTGATATAGTTGTTGGTAAACTGTGACTTTCATGTCAGGCAATAAAGAGTGTAAAACAGTAATTATCATTGTTTTATCAGTTCTTCATTCAATATGAAAAGGATATTTGACCTCTTATTAAAACAATGAAAGCAGGTTGGAAAGCCCGTTACTTGCTCATGTTCTTCCTTATACTACATAACGTGCTTTCTCTTTTTTTCACCCTTTGCTTTTGTTTGAAGATTCTAGTACACTTCCTTGTCTGAGATACCGTACAGCACTTGAGGAATTATTATTCTGTTTTAGTTGCACAGTTCCTATCCCTTGTTCTTCCAAAAAGTAGAAAATATCGGTGGATAAGCACTTTGAAACAAATAGGCTAAGACAAATCACTCTCCACTCAAGTTAAACTTTTATCCCAGGGAGAAAAAGGCCTTTTTTTTCTTTTAGTGGTAGTGCCTCCAGTCTCTCAGTTATGTTATACAAGACTTTGTATAATTATGGCACAAACATTAATTTTGTTACAAAGCTATTGCACTTAGAATAAAAGACAGCAAAAGGATACAGCAATAAGATGGTGGATGTGGGAGGGAGATAAGCAGTCATTTGAAATCAGTGGCTGCAGAAAGAAGGAAGAAGATAGCAGAAGGCTTTGGTTGGGATGACTTTGCAGCTGCAAGAGCAGTCACAAGCAAACATTGGGAGTGTCCTGAGGAATGCAAGGTGGCGAGAGCCTTGCTGTGAGAAGGTGAGGTCAGAGGGGGAGGTGGTCTAAGGCACAAAGACAAATCACTCAGCAACACCAGTAACAGCGAGTGTTAAAACCTGCAGTTTAGCCTTGTGATTCTTCTGCTGAACTGAAATTTGGGGATCCTGTTGCTTCAGCACGTGGGAAGAATGGGTGTGTTTTGGCCTACATCAAATTAAGCTGGGACAGATTGGAGGCAAGTAGTCTTTGACAAGTAGTTTTTCTGCTCTCTTCAGTAAGCCAAAAAGACAGTTTTATGCACTCACATATTCTGATTATAGGTGACTTTTCATTAAGTTACAGTATTCTCAAACACACTGCTTGTCAGTAGTCTGATTAAAGAAGTATCAATGCATTATAAACAGGTTTTTTTATTTGTGTAGGTGCTAAAAATGCAGATGCTGTCTTAGAAAATGCAAAAGTGAAAGTAACAAGCTTACGGAAAGATTAAAAATTAAATCCAAGATTAGTTTGAACAAGTGAGTAGTGGGTTTTTCTTGCCTGAGCTTCAGAAATGGTTGTTGAGTCTATGAAAGCAGAGTCATGTATGGATTCTTGATTATGTTAGCTTAGTATCTGGAATAAGTAAGTTTTGCCTTTGTAATCACTGTTAGACAGTAACTATATAGCTTTGTTTTGGAAGGCACAGAAAGATTGCGAAAGATGGAAGAAGGTCTTAAACAAATCTGTATTATTCTTGCTTTCTCACACCAATATATTGTTGGAACTTGAAGAGAAACTTCTGAAACAGCCATAAGTATAGTCGTTATTAAACTTCCTCGATATGTGGGAGAAGATGAAGATAGCAAGTTCATAGCTCTTAATGTATTTTAATGTTCAAATTGTACGTTACTTGGACAATCTGCCCATTTTTAGGAGTGACATCATCTCACAGAGAATGCCTTGGTGTTCTCTTGTGCCACTTATTCTTGCCAGAGAAAATACCTCTGATTAAAAGCTATTATCTTGTTGTGTATATGTAAAAAATAAGATGGTTGTTGACTGCTGTTGCTGTTGGAGGCCAGAAGATGCCCGTAATGTATGCTGGGAGGGAGGCCCCTGACACGTGTATTTTGGTAAGGGGCAG